GCTTTAAAGGGCGGCGGGAGCGCCTGCCGGCCTCCGAGAGCGCAGCGCCATGCCGAGCCAGGGAGGCGACGGAGCGCAAGGCTGGTGGAGCACCCTCGACGGGCACCATGCGCCTGCCGCCGCCGGGGAAGCCTCCGCTCCTCCTGCCTCTGCGCCTCTCTTGGGCCGCCGCCGCCGCTTATTGCCTGCTGGTCCTGCAGGCGGACGCCTATTTCGGGTTAGCGGCGCTTGCTTGCTTCTGAGGACGCTCGGCTTTTCCTTTTTTTTTTGCTTTCGTTCTTGCAGTCTGTTATTTCTTCCTTGCCCAGGTTTTCTGCTCTTGTTTCACATCTCCCCGTTTTTATATGATTTTTCTTCTTTCCTATGTTCCATCGTTTCCAGTTTTTCCCTTTCTATTTCATGGTCTTTCTCCGTTTTCTCTCTACCGCTTTCCTCTCTCCGTTTCATGTGCGTACCCAGGTTTGTCCATTGCCTTGTTTTTAATCCCCTGATTTTCTTCTGCTCCCTTGCCTTTGCTTCTTCAGTTTCTGCTTTTTCTTTCGCTTCTCTTCCTTCCCGGCTTGTCTCCGTCCGTTTCTCTTTCTGTCATTTCTCTTTTTTTAAAGGCTGGATCCAGAATTAGTTATGCTTAGAGTAGACCTTCTGAAATCAGTTGGACTTAACGTTACCTGTTACTGACCTGAAACATTGATATTTATGGGTTACATAAACAGTTCCTAAGACAGGGCTCCAGACAGTTTCTCAAGGAGCAATACTCTGCACCTCTTCCTGTAAGGAAGCTCCCCCTAATGTAGGGAGTTTACTGGTGATGCATAGGATCGCTTTGCAAACTTTGTTCGTGCCTCTTTGCATTTCATCGTATTTGTTCTATATGTGTTCCTTCAGTTTTCTTCAGTTAAACCAATTAATTTGGGTAACTGGTTTATGGATTGTGTCCTGATTAAACCCCAGTGATTTCAGGTTTACTTCAGAGGAGTCTTGTTTTATGCCAGCTGCTGGATTATTGCTTTACCCACAGCTAAACTGTAAGCTTCTGTGCAAACTCAGGGCAAATAAATGCAGACTTCCTAAACTTTAGGGCCAGAAGGGTATGGCATCTGTCTTCTGCCTGCAGGTACTGGGTGAGATTCTCTTCTTTTCACACTGTTTTGTAAACTCTGGTGCCCCTCCATGCAGGAGACCCGTTCCCCACTAAATTGCATCCCAACCTCCAGGTTATGTTTCCTGTATTTGGGACTGTTGATGGGAAACTGATACTGCTTGTGGGGAAAGATATTTCAGCACAAACGCTCTTAGAGCCGGAGTTTGAGAGAGAGGTAGGGAAGGGTTTGTGTTTGTGTGCATACATTCACATACCTATGCATATGCAATTTTTTGCAGACTTCCTAAACTTTAGGGCCAGAAGGGTATGGCATCTGTCTTCTGCCTGCAGGTACTGGGTGAGATTCTCTTCTTTTCACACTGTTTTGTAAACTCTGGTGCCCCTCCATGCAGGAGACCCGTTCCCCACTAAATTGCATCCCAACCTCCAGGTTATGTTTCCTGTATTTGGGACTGTTGATGGGAAACTGATACTTCTTGTGGGGAAAGATATTTCAGCACAAACGCTCTTAGAGCTGGAGTTTGAGAGAGACGTAGGGGAAGGGTTTGTGCTTGTGTACATGTACATATTGTTGCATACATAAATTTCGTTGTCCTTTTGTATGGATGTTGACACTTAGTTCTGTCTCCTTTTGCTATTTCCTTGCTGTGAAATGGAAAGAACACTTCTAAGCTGATTAGCTTCCCCACCATATTGAAAGAAACTCATTCCTCTCGTCTCTCTTGTTACGCTAACTCTTAACAAGGCAGCCTAACTTGGACGGCCTAGTTTGTTTGGCAAAATGTAATTTGGGAAGGGAGGTGCTTACTTTTCATGCAGACATCTATTTGAGCTGCATGTTCTAGGACAGCGATGGATAATCATTTTCTAATCAACTTTTGTGTTAACCTTGCAAGCGGTTGCAAATTTTATGGATTGGGTCCTGAGTAGGTTACACTTAGAGCAGACCACTTGCAGCCGAAATGTCTCCATCATTGGGAGCACAAGCGGGAGGGTACTGTTGTGCTTGCTTATGGATTTCCTGTAGGGTACCAGTGTTCCCCCAACCTTAGGCTTCTAGAGGTCCTTGGACTTCAACTCCTAGAAATCCTGGCCAGCAGAGGTGGTGGTGAAGGTTTCTGGGAGCTGTAGTCCAAGAACATCTGGAGGCTTAAGGTTGGGGACCAATGGGGTAGGCAACTGGCTTAGAGCATGTTTGAGGAAGGCAAGGCTCACTGGAAAAGGCAGTAGTGCTAAGAAAAGTAGAAGAAGAAGGCTGAACGTGAGATGGGTGGACTCACTAAAGATAACCAGAGCCCTGAGTTTGCAACACCTGAGCAGGACACTTGATGACAAGGGATTTGGGAGGTCTTTTATTCCTAAGGATGCCTTAAGTCACAAGTGACCTGATGATGCTTAACAACACATCAGCATGCGACTGGACATTGTGAGAACGGAATACTGAAGGATTAGATAGTTCTTCAGTCTGAGGCCAAACAGGCTTTTGTTGCTGTTAAATGATATAAGGAATATATGATTTCTTGTGCTAAATTCTATTTATGTCACTGGCTCTGCTGCACTACATTCGACCCTACCTCTTCATTAACGGAGGATCGATCCTGCATTTGTACCTATCTTTCTGTTAACATCTCCAGGGCATATGGGGGTAAAGCATAAAGGCAGTGTTCTCAGGTTACCAAGTGTTGGGCTCAAAGGATATGATATGCATTGAGGAGGGAAAATATTACGTGCATGCAACTTTTGAATAGTAATGTGTAAATCTGGGTTTTGGACATTAAATTTGAGGGTCTATATTTCTGACCAGCTGAATGCATTCCTGTGTATACCTACTTGGGAGTAAGTTCAATCTGATTCAGTGGGACTTCCTTCTGTGTCAATGTGCATCAGCCTGGGCTACAGTACCCAGGGAATACACAAGCTGTGGGTTGATTTTGAACCCTTCTTCATGAACAGGAGAGTAAACTCATGGAATTCTTGCACCACCTGTACTTCTGAAGCTCCAATTTTCATTTTGCAAGTTGTTGACAATTTATTCACATTGTTAAATAGCTGCCACTGCCCCATAGCATGGTCTACAAAATGCAGTAATTTCCACCTTTTAATAAATCAGGAAGCAATGCTTGGTTTGCCCATGACAAGTTTAGTGAAAAGATAGGAGAGCTGGTTATACAATGATGGGTAACAATGATTTGGGGAACTTTGATGTTCCTGTTACTTTATATGTTTTTATTGTTTTCTTCTTTTAGTTTTTGTCTCAAAATCCAGTTTTGAAAAAAAAATCCATCTACATTTCATTGCTTCAGCTCTTCTGATATATAATAGCAGAGAAATAATTCTGGGCCACCTTAAAGGGCTGTTGTAAGGATCCATGCACTTGAAATGCTGTATTTTACAACCCTAAGTATTTAGTTTTCTTGTATCTCTGAAATGAAGGAATCCATCATTTTGAGATAGATACCCAAGAATGTGTCTTAAGAAATGCAATATTATTATTAAGATCTGTATTATTAGCAGTAGCCTTTGGAAAATCTATGTTGTTGCTTGTTCCTTTACAAACATGTTTGTTTCCAAGTGGGCATACAGCTAGGTCGTTTGGAAGTTTGTAAGACAGTTTTTCAAATATATTTCATCATTGGTAATGCTGGCTAGAGGAATGATAGGCGTTGTAATTCAACAAACCTGGAAGGTGCCAGGTTAGGGAAGGCTGGTGTAGTGGTAGTATAAATTGGAATATCAACACATTGCTTTCAGTTGTGCTGCAGAGTCAGTAGTTACCAATATTCTGTAGTTGTAAATTTATCAAATACCCATAGATGCACAGTTTTTGAGAGAAGAACTGCTGGATAGCTAAGTAATTTAGGCATCTGGCTGTGGATCCAGAGGGTTGGGAGTTCAATTCTGCACTGTGCCAACTTGACAGGGGTTGGACTAGATGATCCACAGTGTCCCTGCCAGCTCTGCATTTCCAAGATAATAATGATGATGATTACATTGGCTCCATTTCTTTGTCAAACTCCAGGTCCTAGAGTTATCTCTGCAAGTTCTCACGTTGCTCTAGTGTGGAGCTATATTTACACAGGGAACTATGTTTGAGTAAACATCCTTAAGCATAAGCTACAATCTCTGGCCTCAATTCTTTTCTCCTCATGATAATGGACTTGCTGCTCAGGCTTGTCTCTGGGCTTTCAAGTTGAGGTAACATAACCCTTTCTTAATACCCACACCAGTATTTGCAACTTTCAAACTAGTAAGTAGTTCAGTATGTGAAAACTGTACAAGAGTACACATAAGAACTGTATATGTTGGGATGCTTTGGAAAAAGCACAATGAAAGTTTTTCAGAGTTTGGTTGCTCCTTTCACCTCAACAAGTGATTGCTGCTGCCTCAGTCAGTTAAGAGCAGAGTTGTGAAGCATCGTGTTTGTGGACTACAACTCACAGAATCCTCCAGGTAGCAACAACATAATAGTGTATGCCTTTATTTTAGAGGGATGTACATTCTGCTAGATCTCTGAGTGGCCTGGAATAGGTCTCCAAGGATTTCTGGCTTCTAAGAAGAATGGAGGGGGTAAGTGATGAAGGACTTCTGCCATGGGTAGCCTTGTGCTGAGGCTTATTTCTCAGCCTCAGTGTTGACATCTTACAGGTCTACCCTTCAGCTCAGCTAATTGCTACCAGAATGTAACAGAAGAGTTGGAAGAGGCCATCATCATAAGCTAGTCTTACCTTGTCTTTGCTTCAGGGTCTGTCAGTAGAGGATACTGCAAAAACTGAGGTGTCAGAATTTGTGATATATGGTAACTCACATGAAGAACTTTGTGTGTGGTTCATGGGAATCAGCAGAACTCTGCCTCTCAGCCACCATTTTGAAGCACTTAGAAGCTTTTGGGTTGCCCATCGCAAAGAAACCTGTTGTTTCTTGGATAGCATGTCTTTAGGAAGGTTAGAACTAACCCATGTTTTGCTTCAGAGAAATCTGGGACATCTGTTTTATCAGTTTCTGTGAAGGATGAAACACTGAATGGGTTTTTCTCCTTTCAGGAAGATCATATGCATCTAGAAAACACGAAGCAATATTTTCCCTCCCAGCTGTCTTTTCCTTAACACAAAACAAAT